GGGGGGGACCGCACTTATCCAAACCAGCCGATCTATCTGCGCAGATTGTGGCATTCTTGTTTTTCTTCCACTATATAGTCCAACAGCAAGGATGATTTCAATTTCAGTTGAATCGAGTTTCTCGAGTTTCTCAAAAAGTTCATGAAAATCTGGGTCCATTCCTGAAAAGAGCTCCAGGAGGTGGTTGACATCTGGAGCGAATTTCTCGAGGACTTTGTCCTTATTCGATGAAGGAGCACGGAAACTGAGTAAAACCACAGCGGATTTCGTCACGAACTTCAAACGGTTCCCTGCCTCACCAGCGAGAATAACTGCCCCGAATTTGTAACTCTCGGTTGAAAAATTCAAAGGGAACGCGAAAATACTAACCTAAAGACACACCAAAGAAAGCCCATATTTCGCGGTCACAACAAGTTGATCTTGCTTCTCAGTTCTGATAGCTCTCAGAAGCGCTTACAGTTTGATCCAAATGGCACAACCTAGGCGAATCATGCCGGTCTATGATCAGAAGCATGAATAACAACGCTTATCTTATCTTTTGATTTATATGAACTTAACGAGCGGCCGCCCGCGTAACGTAGTACCAGTTCCCGATGATGTTTCGGAAGCGATTTCCGGTAATGATTTCGGAGTGGTCATAAAACGAGTGATAAAACTACGTCACTTTCAGATGAATGCTAATCAGACGCCGGAGAGTTAACTCCTAAACATGCTTGGGGAAGTTTCCGGGTCGAACTGACGAATCCCTATTCCTCGATGACTAGGGAATGAATGCAGACCAAGGATTTCCAAACTCCCTTGTCTGTTCTCTATGCTACTGTATCGTGTAGGTCTGTTTTATGAAGCAGAACAGAGTCAGATCTGTAAGTATGGCTCTCACGCGCTCTTCAATTCCACAGTACAGAAGTCGTACTTCTTGGACCTAGAAAAATGACAGGTGGGATAGGGAAAGGTGTCTACCAACGGAGAACTTCAGAATGGACGTCGCCGCTTTCCCCAGCCCGATGCTGCGCCCTGTACTCTGAGTTGTGCTACACGAGCACCGTTAACTAGCTGGCTCGATAGTGCACGTTTGCTCAAATGAGGTTAGAAAGGATACGTCATGTAACGTTTATTTCACGGCTGAAAACCAACGTTCTACAACTGATAAGCAGGATTCTTCCGAGTCTCGAGGATTACTGAATAAATAATTTTTAACTAGCACTGCTGAATTATGAAAGTGATTTGAAGTGGCTCGCTAGACGTTAAAGAATCACTCGGCGATAAACTAAGGCTACAAGTTCTCAAATGTGTTGGATGATCCGGCAGGCAGTTGTAGAGGCAGTACTACACTGAAAGAGCGAAAATTCGGAAGGATACCAGTGGGAGCTAAGCAACTTGGGATAAGAGTTGGGACAAGTTGGGATCGGTATGGAGTCCTGCACAGGGCGTTTGGGATGGTTTTTTCTTTTTTTCTCCACTGTTCAGCTGCCTAGCAGTTCTTCGTTCGTATGTGAACCCCATTACCCGCCATCTGCGGTCGCGGGCTTTGCCTTAAGTAGAAGAAAGTAGTTCATCGGTAGCAAAATGTTTTGAGATGTAGGCTATCACGAACTAGCCATAGTCGCTTTCGCTACATACGCTGGGGCACGTCAGAGGGCTGGGTTTGGCGCGGCGCCGGCCCTTCCTGCACAAGCAAGGGGCAACAGTTGGTGGAGAACAGGCTGGCGCCACCCCAAGCCCAGTCTTCGACACGCCCTTGCGTCTGCAGCGAAATAGCTGTTACTTGACGCAAGGGTGCTGTGTTGAGTCATCTAGTTAGGAGTACTAAAAGAACTGTGCGTGATGTTGTGGCTCGAATCTCCTGAATTATAATCACGACTAACAGATACAACATCGGTTCACAAAGACGGAAATACGTTCATAAGTGCAATTTTCACATTAGCTCCGTTGTGCTGGTGGTCAAATCTCGTTTCGGTCGCGCGTTCACGCGATCGATGCAGTGGAAACCATGCGCATCGAATCGCGCGACCGAAGCGCTGCCGTCGCGAAGTCTGAACGCTGCCTTACATCTTACGCTCCACCTTCTCTACCTAGCTGTCTTCCTTATAATTCACATACTAACAGAATACAATTTCTGGCCGCTGTTTTGTCGACGGGGGGCATTTTGTACTGCCATTGCTTCCCCAGGTTCCGGTTTACAAATCTCACTCTGGTAAAACTTGTGAACGCTTGTGAAGCTGGAGCAAGATCGTCTAGCCACCATCCTAAAACGTGTCAACTCGAGAAAAGGCTACCTAGATGGGTCGGCACATCTATGGAAAGCAGAATGCCCCCTCGTCGACAAACTGCGCCCAATTTCATATAAAAAAGGTTGATAAAGACCTAACGCTATGATAAATGATAGACTATTTTAGCTACAAATGGAAAGAGTACATCCATGGCGATCTCATAGCTGGATTAACCGTCGGTATCATGCACGTACCCCAAGGTGAGGTTTGTTGACCATGAGATTGTTAGCTCAAATCCTAAGGCTGCCACCTTTCGCGGCAATGTTATAGACAACGGTGATCGTATGGGCAGAGTTAAGCCTATAACTGCTTCCTCGTTGTTGCGTCCCTTCTTCCTAATATTTCAAGGTGGAGAAACATGTGGCAGTGAGAAAGGAGGAGGAGTATGCCAATGAAGAAGGTACAACATATACCAATGAAGAAGGTACAACAGAGGACCAGGCTCTTCTCATACGACCAGTATCTTCGATGTTAGGAAAGTGGATGTAAATTCGTGATCATCTGAGGGCATATTCCGCGCTGATCGTATGGGCAGAGTAAGTTAGACCAGGTCGCCCTTCTCATTGGTCGAACACTACTTCTACCAAGAGGAGGTGCGCTTCAGAATGAGAATAGTAATCTGGCCAGAAGACTCTGCCTACACAGGCAGTTAGGTGTGATTTTCAACGGAGTAGGGCTACCGAATTGGAAGCAAAGGCTGGTCAAGAAAAGCTCACTTCAAGTTTCCACTGATTAGTGAAACATGTGGAATCAACGGAAATAGAGCTATTATTTTCTTTCCAGAAAGAATTTTTTTCCAGGAATGGCTTACGCCAGTCTAGCTGGCGTGCCACCCGTCTACGGAATGTACTCGTCGTTTTTCGCCTCAACAGTGTATATGTTTTTCGGAACTGCTCGGCATGTGTCTATAGGTCAGTTTTTTCATCACTTTGCCCAGAAACCACGCAGTTGTGGAAGCATGGTGTTCAGGAGTTTTCGCAGTGGCGTCGTTGATGGTCGGAGCCGCTCTAATTCGACTTAGTCCTGATCCAGAAGACCTTCTAACCAACTCAACCTCTCCTCTAGGAGATGTGACTCCTCTGCAAATTACAAGTGCACTCACACTTGTCGTAGGTGTCGTTCAGGTAAGATGAAAGTTGTCGAAGGAAAAAATAGCACCTTGGAACTCACGTA